AAAGGTTTGTTGATGTAAGATGATTCACTCTGATGAAGGACTAACGCTGGCCAATTTACTCAGTTAATAAGACCAGATTATCCTGGTGTAATAACCCACATTGAATGTTTAAAGAACACTGGAAAAGTTGTTAAATCACTCACTTTTAACAAGAGATTTACAAGGTTTGGTTTAGTGGACAGTAGCTAACCAATGGGAAATGCAGTCGCCTGCTTTTACACAGAATTTTTGAACATAGAAAATAAATTGACATGTGGTTCTTTCACAACAATTCTCAATCCCATATTTACCCACAAAGTAACTTTAAAACTCTAATTGTGGTATCAGTAAATGTATGTTAAGTGAGGATGACAGTAAATTGTGCATTATGCTGCTAAAAGAAACGTGTTACCTTAAGGCAAGGGTCTTCAATGATGAAGGGATTATGCATGTAGAGACAAGTAAAAACGGTCTGTACCAGGGAATGTCCATCTAACCACGTAATCTGTATTTTAGGCAAGAGTGAATGACAAAATAATGATAGGATGAGGCCTAAAATGGTGGAAGAATAATCTGGCTAATATAGAGACAAATAGCAGGTTTTGTAGATTCACAAAATAGTCAATTACAGGAGGTTGCTGAATCACTGGGTGATTGAATATTAGTCAGATACCTACTTTCATTGACAGAAGAATTAACAAGGAGATTGAATGACTGACTAACAGACTAAAAGACACATTGAATGCCCAACTGACTGAGTGACTGTTAAACTAGCTTCATGACTTGATCACCAAATGGGAAACTGGATGCTTGTCTGAGTGACCAACTGATGGAGAGGCTTATTAACTGGATAACTACCAAATTAACTAGTTGTGTTGCTTATTCACCAACACCTCCACTGACTGACTGATGCATGAATGGATGGACCAACAGACAGCCTGACTGACTGACTGATCGATTAACTGATGGACTGAATAATTCTCTGACTGGTTTACTGGCTACCTGATGGCTGGCTAAGTAACTGAAAAATTAACTAGCTATTAATGGCTGTCTAGCTCACCAAATAGCCTAGTGACTGATTAACTAATCAAACCAAAAGACAAAAATTAACACACAAACCAATTAAGAAAATATTGGCCAACTTATCGAGTTCAAATTTTGCAGTTGATATCGATTTAAATGTACCTACCAAGCAAGCTATCAATTCATCCATGATACCAATAAGTTCTTTGGGAGTTAAATCTTTGATTCTTACAAGACCAGCCTTGGTAAGAAAAAATGAAATCATGTCTTTTAGATGGGAATTACTCACCAGCTTTCTCCAGCAGTAGATTTTAACAAAATAGTAATTACCTACTTAGCCCATATTTACTTATAGCACATGCACATCAGTACCAATATGGAAGCATTTTTTTCAAAGATATTCAATATATGAACAAGGCAGAAAAAAGTTGAGGTCTTCACCTAGTCAAAAATATACTGTGCAGTGGTATCCATCAAAAGAAAGGCAGTATTGTTAAGCACAGGAAGGTTACATGCTGGTTTACACAGGACATCAATATAAACAAATAAGATCCCAACACTCACTTTAACTGCTGGCTCAAATTGAAGAACTTTCTTAGCTTTGTTACACAACATTCCAGCATCCATTTTGGGATCCATCATCTCAATTGCTGACATGGCTTCAAACAAGCCAAATCTTGCATAAGGAAGAAAATTAAAAGAAAAAGAGGCTTTGTCAGACACTCTCCATTGAAAGCTACCATCTGAAAATTTTGATTGCTGAAAATACTTATAATTAAATTAATTATGTACTTACATGTTGTCATGCACAAGCTCACCCAATTTCAATTCTGTAAAAAAAATATAAAATGAAAAGTTACCACTGTTAGTGTGTTCATAGTCCCTATTTTTAATAGTATTGTATGTTTAAGACCATACAATTAGAAAGGGAGGGCAGGTCATTAATCTGCACCAATTACTTGTAGGCTGTGTATGTTTCAAGCCTGCAACTAGTGCAAATGTCTCATTTTCTTGGAAAATTTCGGCCTCTTGCACCTCAATTGGCATCAAATTGGGATGCAAGTAATTTAACACAACTTATTCTAATCAAATAGCATTGAATATCAACTACACTCCTTAAAAGAATGGCTGCTTAATTTCATAAAGCTTGCTAGTAACTGACTACAAGGAACAGATCATCTTGGTTAGATTACATTTTATACTAGAATGGTCTTACCAGATGCAGCCTCAGTAAAATTGTCTGTAATGTCTTCCCAGTTGTACTGAGGTTCATTTGCACCTGAAGGAAACAGGGAATGAAAGGTTACTGCATTTAACGATTCAACTACCATGAGTGACCAAGACATAATTTCTCTTTATAATATTAATACAATATCAACCAGATAAGTGATGAGAATAATAAAAAATATTGATTTGGGGATAATTGGTTGATCCAACACTAACTTCTCTGAACTAACATTACAAGAATTGTATGGTTGACAGTAAGGAGAATTAAAAATTTGATCTGGAGTTAAAGGGTTAATAAACACATGTACTGCCCCACTACACAAATCACTCTAAGTGATAATTTAATGTTGACTGAGTGTTTCATTCCATTTGAGTTAGCAAAATTAATGCTTAAAGTATCCAATTTCCATCTTTTTTAGAAAATCACCCAAGGTGGTGAAAACAATGTAATACAGAACCACAAGTGTTTAAATTTCAGATTCATACAGATTGGCATCTCAACTGTGTTATAGACCAATAAAGTAACAACTACAATAAAGATGGGAAAATGTACACTAAACAGGGTAGGGCACCGCCCTAGGGGCTTTAGGGTAACCTTACTTTGAGACATTTTTAATCTGATAAAAGTTACTTTGCTGAAGTTATAATCAATGAAAGAGGGGTAATTCAGCTGGTGTACAATTGGTGATATTACACAAGAACAAAACCTGACCCTTTAGCAGAGACAGCTAACTGAAAAATGCCTCACCTGATATCGACTGCAAATTGCAAACTCTATTGCCATAACAAAGTAGGCACCTGATAACTACACTCCACTACACTAGACTGATTTATGACAATCACTTATAAATGTTTGGACAATAACACAAGATAACAACTACGCAAAAAAATTCCCTGACAATGTTTAATGAACTTTCACCGCCTTGAGTGAAGAATAATGGTCATATAAGTTTATGCCTTTCTAATCCAATTTATTTTCTGGTAAGCTTAAATTTTTTTAAATTGAAGTCTGAGATAGATTTAAACCATATTGCACTGCATTCGATGGTTCAGTGTATACTCACCCAACTTTGAAAGAGTCTTTGTAATAGATTCTACACCACTGACAACTTCATTTGTGAGAGCGGACAGTTCATCGCTGCAAATTAACATCGATTTTTCCACAAAGATTAACAAAGTAGAACAGCACACGTAGGTCAATCCGATATTAATCCAAAAATATAACCTGATAGCTCAAAATTAGCTGAGAAAGGGCTTGGGAATAACTTTTTGAAGGAAACGAAGAGAGCCTTACACCAACCTATTATCTTTGTCGCCTGCCTCCTCAAGCGCAGCACTCTCGTTGTCCGCCATCTTGAATTCCTCGTCCTCAGTCTTACATCGTCCTTATTATCCGACAGGGTCCTGAGACTTAATCAAATGAAATTTCAAATAAATAACTGAAAGTAAACATTTTTTTGTCGGTATTGAATGAAAATCAAATGTTAAAAAGAATATAAGTTGAATCCAAATTTTGATCTCCTTCCAGCAAGAAAGTTGAAACAAAAACGAAAACGGATGCCGTAGTTCCTAAATTCTTTATCCAGAGTTTCATTTTAATTGTAGTTACAGTCGGACGTAATCGGAATGCCGAAGATATCAGTCGAGAATATTGCGAAGATTCCGAAGACAGGAGAAAGTTTTGTTGTGGCTCTGACGCACAAGGTGGATAACTAAGAGATAAAAAAATTCGTTCTTCTCCATTGTGGACTAGTCTGTTCTTTGAATAAAATGGGCTCCATCGTCTGTACAGCTGCAACGGTAGGCGAATTTTATTATTTATTGGTCCTATTTAGTGAAGCAGACTTCGATTTTCGATTCAAAAGATGCCAATTCCAGTTTAGGGAGAAAAACATACAGAGTACGCTTTAGTGAAAGACTTAGGGGATGAATTTTCTTCCTTTATTTTTACAAGGATCATTATGATCTTTAGAAACCTTTCAATAGCCGAGCTTTTTATACTGTGCTAAGATCTTCTCTCGAAAACAACAAATGTGGTATAGAATATCGTTCTGTTGACCACCGCTTGGCAATTAATTCAAAAATATGGTGATCTATCTTCGCACCTGCTTCAAGATTTGACCATTTACTGACACAAAATAATGAACCGCATCCTAGATATGGCTCTCTTTTCTTGACTCTGGCCTAAACATAATGTATCGGACGACATGTAAATATTGTTCAACTTTGGCTGGAATAAATGCCTGTGACATACAGTTAACATGCCCCCCCCGCGCCCTGCCACTTCCAATCTTTTCCAGAGTTTGTTTTGAGGAGAGGGTCAATCTTGCATGTACAAATATGTTTATTTACAAAGATTTAACTTTGAATTGTTTTCACTCAGTATTGATTGATTTCTTTACATTTTAATGTCAAGTGCGCATGTTGCTGCTGCCCAACAGTTGCTAGCTGTTGTTGTGCATGTTGTCCATCATGTCGCAGCTCAACTTCCACCAGGATTGTATACACACTATTTCTTCTCATTGGGACAATTTTGTCCAGTGTGATGTTATCCTCAGGAATACAAGATACCATGGTAGAGAAGGTAACTAAGTCACTTAGTAAGTCTAAAGATGATGATATAGAAGTCATGCAAATATGAGGTTTGACAATAATTTCATTCTCAGCTCAAAAATTTTGAGTCAATTTTGATTTTTGTCCTTCCCCATTAAAAATACTAGCCTCTATCACAGTGTGCCCATTTCTAACCATTTCACCCCAAGCAATGACCCAAAAGAAAGTTCATCTTACAATATGAATACATGTTCAAAGAGAACAGTGGTGAGAATGAAGAAAATATCAACCATGAGATATTGCTTGATTTAAAAGCACATTTGGAGGGCTGAAAGACAGAGCAAATGATAGATATTTAATTGTTGGAAGTCAAAAGGTTAAATACAATTCATGTTCAGTAACTATACAAAAAGAATTGCAGTACGTTTATCCATCTAGCAGTTCATAAGGGTTAGAAAAAATATATTTAAAGATACTTGGTCCTAAAACTCCCACCAAATGATAATGCGGTGTATAATTTGCACACAAAATTCTGACAATGGAACTTGAACTAAAACATGGTGCTACTTACACAGGGCATGGTCATAAATATCATTTACTTGCACTCTTGCAAATTTAAAAATGTCTGAGTTAGTTGCTGCTGCAGCATCTCAGAACTCTTTTTTCTCATTTCATTTGTGACATCTCTAGGTTCCATTCTTTAATGAAGCCTGTGAAGCAGCAACTTTAGGAACAAACTGTGATGTGTTGGTTGGTTACTTGGCAGTTTACAGGATTTGTTTTGGAATGGCAGCCTTCTTCTTTCTTTTCATGATTCTTAACATTGGGGTTGGCTCCAGTAAGGACTGTCGAGGTGAACTGAACAATGGGTGAGGAGATAACATTAATTATATAATTATTAAGTTAGACTTGTGAAAAAAACTGAAAAAAAACTGAAAAAAATAAAAAAAACAAAACAAAACAAACAATTTATATGTTTATTGGTGCATGTAGGAATCATGAATAATAATTATGTTATAAAATGCTAACTATGCCATTATAAATGCAAACTATGATCATTGAAAATTTCTCTTGTGCTGCTCTCAATCATGTTTGAACCTCTTGTGATATCATTTAAAGCTGGTGCATTGAGCCGGCAATGAGTGAAATTAAATGAAAGATCAGTCTGTAATTCACCTTCAGTTGAGACACTTTGTTTTCCATATTTTTTTTAGGTTCTGGGGCCTTAAGTTTATTCTTCTCATAACTTTGTGGGTGGCTGCTTTTTTTATTCCCAGAGGAAGCTTTGGAGTCGGTGAGCAAGACC